AATTTGTCAAAAGCATGTCTTATTAAGACAATAGACTGTGACATAAGGTCGTATTCGAAGAGAATTTAAAGCAAATAATATAGATCAACATTTGTCCCCCTTTCTATATTACTAGGCCACTGACAAGAAATCATATGGTATTAAATTGGCGTTATAACGCCTTTTGGTTCGCATTATTATGCCTTTTGGTTCGTGTTATAACGCCTTTTGGTTCGCATTATAATGCCTTTATTAGCATTTTTAACAATCTGCGTTACCACAACCTTTTATTTCGAGTTACTAAGCATTTAGCTGCGTTATTACTCCCTTTGATTCGCGTAATATCGAATTTTGATAAGCGTAAAAAGGCTTTTCTTCAAGTTATTACGCTTTCTATTTCGCGTAATAACTATGCTGTACTATGCTATTAATTTCGCACTAATATGCCTTTTTTTCGTAACAAGGCCTTTGTCTTCCCTCATGATGTGTTTTTGTGTTACTACATCTTTATTCACGTTATTACGCCCTTTTTGTGTTATTACGCCTTTTGTTTCGAGTTATTGCGTCTTACCAATATAATATTTTATTTCATTTGATACTATTTAGCTTTCGTACGCAGACGGATATATCGTTTTAAATAAATTTGTGCTAGATAAACCCACCTAGTCTTATCAATGTTAATACTAAGGGTAGGAAGACATTAGTAACGTAATTCAAATATACATGTAAAAAAACATATTAATATTTTATGATTTATTTAGCAAATGTAAAATACGTTAAGTATGAAATAATTCAGTTATAAAACTAAAAATAGCTTTATATGAATAATATAATATCACGTACATGCCATTAAATTTTATGAATAGTGTTTTGCACATAACTGTATGCTATTCAACAACGAAAGTAAAATAAAATTGATAAAGTATAATTGCTAAACAGCGACTTACCTGTATTTGTGTCTAATAAATTATCACCTATAACTCAATCTCAATTGTTTCTAGCCACGTAAACTTATGAATAGAAAAAATGTCAAAATCGAAAGAGGAAGTTTTAAAGCATTTACTTAGATAACAATTCATCGGTCTAAGGACGCTAAATGTTATTTTTAAAACATGAAAATGTAATCGGGCAAGTTACCTGTAACATTCAGTTTATCAAAAGTGTAAGGGAGTCTTTTTATGTTTGACTGATTAATATTTTATCCCCAACATTTTTAGAATCAGCTATCTATCAGTCACCGTTATAACCTTCAGAATAATAAAATTATAGTTGATTCGGATCCACTTGACAAAGAACATGTGAGGATTATGTCACAATCGGGTAAAGATCTTACATTGCTATATAACAGTTTTTGGTGATGTGTTTAGAAAAACCATTCTGATTAGAATACTTATTTGCATGAAATAATACGACACCTGTATATATCTTTAGATTTTCTGAAGATGGCCAGCAATGAAGTAGGAAGATTGACTTTTCTTTCAAATTATCATTAAAACATTGCCATGGTTTTTAATCAGCTCTGGCTTAAAAATCAAATCTAAAGATGAACAATACATGTTAGGTCTATAAAAATGAAAACAAATATCAAAAAGGCAAAGGCGACGTTCAAAGAACATTTTGAAAAGAAACACGTCTCGGTGAATCAACTAGACGTGCAAAACTAAGTGAGCCTATAAAGATTGTAAGCATTCCAATACTGTTTTTGTTATGGGCACATTCAGCTTATGTTCTCAAAAAAATTAAAGTGCAAGCTCATTTTGGAAGCAAATATAAAAAAATCTTTCTCCCCCAGGAATCCTAAAAATGTAAATCGGAGTGGTGAATTGACATGGTACTAAATCCATCTTCAATGTCTAATCTCATAAGAGCATTTGTGTCCAAACTGCCTTACAAAGGAAATTGTATTTTCAATAGATCCATAGTGGACTGAAGAGTAATTTTCTTCTGGAAATGATAGATCATGGATAATACGGAATTTCATTTTATTTCTTAAGGAATAAAGTCCGATGGAAAGTAAACAAAATTGGTTGGCCAAGCTATACAAATGAAGTCTTTTTTGACCTATTATATTACTAGCAACCTACTTATTTTGTCTATTTGAGTAGCAATTACTCTTGATTTGTGAAGGGATAAAGTCTGAATAGGTAAAGTTTAAACCTTTTGAAAAACTTTCCTTTAAAAAGGAACATAGCCTACTAATTCCTTCGCCAGAACATCACATTTAATTTTGGATGGCAGCTTTTAACTAAGTCCTTGGTTTATTACATTTTTGTAGATCTTTTTGGTGATTTTTTCTCGCAGATTTATCAGACCTATCCACAGTGTTGAGAATGATTGCTGGCAGCATCAATTTTTTTGTGTATCAAATTGAAGGTGAGAATCTCACTTAAAGCCTAAATCACTGGTTAATCAGTCTACAATCAAAGCACAGAAGGCGCTGAATTTGTTTGGGACTCAGAATGTCAGAAAGGTGAAGGCTGTTAGTTTATAAACTAATATGTTTTTGTATAGTGCCACCAATGCTTTCAAGTGTTTTAATTTAGTAAATATGCTATAAGACTAATTGCCACACTGTTATTCAATTCAATGTTTATTTGACTTAAACAATTAAAAAAAAATGAGTTGCCTTAACTTGGATTTGAACCCAAGACCTCTCGCTTCTTAAGCGAGCGTGCAAACCCCTCGGCCACGGGGAAGTTATATGAAATCGACCTGAACAAAACAAAATTATTCTAAATTAGGGTTTGTAACCCTAATTCTTTCGAAACCTGTTGTTTAACACAGATGTAAATATTCACGGAGCTTACTTTAAGCATGTGTATATATAAAGAATAAAACAATATTAGAAATCTTCGACCATTCGGAAAATATTTTGCTTGAAAATTAATGCGCCTGTCATTTGATAATCTTTACGCAGTGATCTCCCCTGGATTTTTCGGCGTTAGTGTACATATAAAGGGAAGTAATCGCTTCAGAAAAGCGGTCTACTTTCGGCATTGTCAATTAACAGCATCAGGGTCTGAAATTTCGCTACCATTATTTGTTTGGTCTGACGACCCAAACAAATAAAAAATTGGTACACATATGCTCTGCTTCAAAATACGACTTTTCTTAAACGGAAAATCAACATCGAGGTGAACAAATCGGTAAAAAGAAAACTCGGAAAATAACAATGCGAACAGTGTTTTGATCTGTTTTTTTTAATCCTTTAAACTGTATAAATTGATAAATGTTTTCTGAGTAGCGTTTTACTATATATTGTATCATAGTTTGGGTACCTTTCTGTTGAAAAAGTGTCAGAGTTAAATCGTATACATATACATGCACAGTGCGGTAACTGGAGTGCGGGTATCAGTTACCCGCACTCCAGATAATGCCCGTGGATTGGTTCATTTTTGTCGGGGTTTACATATTGTGACGGCAGAGAAAGGGAAAGGGGCAGAACTATCATATTCAAATGCTCGTTCATTGGTTAATTTTTTCTGGGGTTTCATATTATGACAACAGGGAACGTGCTGTCATGTTTGACTATGATACAAAAGAGAAAGAACACCAAAACACTCGGCAATCTGATTTATACTCGGGGGCTACGCCCCCTCGTACAAATCAGATAGCCTCGTGTTTCGGTGCTCTTTCTATTACATGTTCCATAAACTAGTAAAACAAACACCTATAGCTTTAATATCACCAAACACTTATATATTATTAGTTATAAAGATCGTTGACAGGTTATATGGCCCTATATAAACGGCTATTTGTAAATATAACCCGAGCCGTTAGGCGAGGGTTATATTGCAAACAGCCGTTTATATACGGTCATATAACCTGTCAACAATCTTTATAACGAATTTATAATACAGCAAGCATCATTTTTTAGAGAAAAAATGTTAGATTTCTTCATGAATCGACAGAAGCCGTGTATATAAAACTATATAAACGTCACGATTATCCAATGAAAAGCGACGTTACAAACGTGCAGTATTATAAGACCTGAATGACCCGTGTACAGAAATTTTGCTGCTCATTTCACTATTCTTAATTAGCAATCGTGTCTTCTCCGCCCTTTCCGTCATACTTACGAACAGAATAGAAGAATACACAGAAATGATCTATACCGGTTTTGGTCCAACCTACGCATATAAACAAATAGTAATTAATGCTAGATATTGAAGACCACATTAATGCTAATATAAAGTAAAAGCCCACCGAAGGAAATTTACATATTATAACAATAAACAGTAGATTATTTATATTATAATTATTATGGTTGTAGAAACCAAAAATGTCTTACTGCGGGCATTTATTTGAACTAAAATATTATTGTACATCAGTGAATATTTAAAAGTTAATTATGAGTGTGAGAGATGTGTTCAGTCATAATTTTACCGGAATATACTTTATTTTTCTTTGGATGTTAAATATATATACATTCGTTATACAGTTTTAAAGACTACAGAGTACTTAGATTTGAAATGATATAGGAAGTAAAAATATGATAGAATGTAGGAAGTAAAAATATCGTGGAATGTAGGAAGTAAAATATGATGGAATGTAAGAAGTAAAGAGTGCATTAATCATAATTATTATATATTGATATATAATCAATACTGAACAGGAAAAAGGAAAAATAATAAAAAAGCAAATTAGTTCATATGAAGTGATAATATGAATGCAATTATATTTGAAGAATAGATAGCATAGGTATTCATAGAAAAAGCATTGAAATGATAATTGATTAACACTGATATGCATAACATTTACACACAATCATACTTGAATATAGTACTATTTTGTCTGTTTACTTTTTGAAAAAGCTATCAATGTCCCTGTGCAACACCTTTGCAAAGCGTTGGCCCGTCTTTGTGGTGGCAGACAGCCGGCCATACCAAGTAGTGCAGACGTTTTCCTGATTTTGTGTATGGCTTGAAAACATTTGAATCGAATTTTTCATCTCCTTGTATATCAGAGAACTCAATATGTACTGGCGACTCGTGTCTACACATTGACCAACATACGTTTACACATTGAACATCATTTCTTCTTTCATTACATCAATTTTATTTTCAGCGGCTATGGCATTTGCATCATCCTGAAATAACAATGGTTCAAGTTAATCTCTCGCAGTTACATATAGCTTTCATTTTTTATTCTAAAACCACACGTTAAATGCAATCGGTTGAAGAGAAAGATAAGCGTTTAATTGCAGTTCAACCTTTGAATGTTTATCCAGTAAATGTTGTGCAAGCCAATTTAAACAAAACGTTTAAAGTTGTGTATGATACTGCGTCCAATTACAATCAAAAAGTTTTGATATCTAAAATGCCGTACCTTTGATATAAGCAATTAGAGTTATATAATATTAACATTTGTTTTTTAAAGCTTCGATGTCAATGCCGCACGAATTGTACTTTTGGCGTAAAATTTATAGCACTCTACGGGTAGTCAGAATTTAAACCCAATTTTGAAAATCTTATCATTCGGTTAATATGTATAAATATCTATATTAGTACTTACGGATAACAACAAATGAATGTATGCACAAATACCGTAAATAAAAGATTTTTCAACAATGCTATGTGAAAAACGAAACACGTACCTCTTCTATCTGATGTGAAACATTTATTTCGATAAAGTTTCTTAATGCCATCACTGTTTTCTTTTTGACATTTTGTAAAGAATCGAAATTGAATATTATTTCATTCACCTGAGATGAAAGCTTGACTTTAATATGTTCATGTTTTAATGAATAAACACATATTCGTAACCAGAATAGTAAACAATAACTAATAAATAATAACCCAAAGAATAATCTTAAGAACAATTTACAACATTAAATGACACGGATTATCTGATTATATAATTGCCATACTTTTGCCGCATTTTTATTTATCCCCTTCCGCATAGCGGTAAGGGGATTTCGTGACTGCTCCATAACTTTTAAAATAGAGAAAAACAGAATCCCTAAAGAAAGTCCAACACGTCAAAATCGAAAATGTTGCAGGCTTTAAACCGCTGAAATATTTTTACAAGTAATCACTATCACGAGACGATGTGTAGAGCATAATAATAAGGTTGCTTCCGCCAAGGTCAAGGTTACAATAAGAGGTTAAATGTTAAAAAATCTTCATTTCGTGTCCGCTCCATAACATTTTAACCGCTGCAAAAAATTTAAAATAACTTGGCACAAGTAATCACCAACATGGGACAATGTGAAGCGCACAATAATTTGGTTGCTACCGTCAAGGTCAATGTCACACTTAAAGGTCAAATGTTAGAAAGTCTATATTTCGTGTCCGGTCCATAACATTTAAACTGCTGATTTTTATTTTTGAAATAACTTAGCACAAGTGACCCCATTATAAGATGATGTGCCGAGCGCAATAATTAGAATTTTCCACATTAGGCGCTCACACAGACTCGCTTATTTCGAGATGTTTAGGTTGTAAATACAAATGGGTATTATTCTCATGTCAGTATAATGTGTTTTTAGACCTTGCTAGGATAGATAAAGATACTTTATACTTTATACTTTTTCGAGGAGCATTGGTATTCAGTGTAGCAGTTCTTAATCTTATAGGGATACATGTCTATGCAGGGAGTAAAATATCGAAGAATTGACAAGAATTTTACTGATTATGATATATTATATTCATTCGCATTACTAAATCATATAAAGTAAAATGATGAGCGCACATATTGGTCAAACCATTTACTAGTGAATAAAAGTCCAATTTATTTTAGCATGGCCTAATAAGTATATTTGTTATATGTTTCGCAATGAACAATCGAAATATATCGGAAATATTACAATGTATGTATCTGTGGCTGACCTCTACTCAAATGCGAATGAGAAAAATATATCACAAAAAATTTGAAACATTTATTATTAGAAAATAACGTTTCATTACAATAAGTAAGTAAAAAAATGGAAAATCATTTTTATACCTAACTAAATTCAAGAACATTTTCATATAAAATACTGATCATGACAATGTAACGTCATGTTTTAATGTTATGTTAGGTATCACTTGACATTACATGGCAAAGGTCAGTCTTTTGTACCTTAAACACTTTACAACCATAAAACTTGTAAACGCGGTAAAATGTGCGGTCATGATGGCATATACTATGAACATATTATTCACGGTGGTGACAATATCTTATGGGCATTATCAAGGCTATTTACAGCAATGTTAAAAGCCGGTCATATCCCAGCTAACATGAATAAGGGTGTTATCATTACATTGCACAAAGGTGCAAAAAAGAACAAAACTGACCCAAATAATTATAGAGCAATAACGCTTACGTCTACAATACTGAAACTGTTTGAGAACATACTACTTCTTCGTTCAAAACCTAAAATACTTTCTAAACTCAGCAAACAACAAGGTGGATTTCAACAAAATCTTGGGTGCATAATGACGTCATTTTGCCTTCGAGAAGCAGTTTTGTATGCAAAAGAAAATAATAGCAAAGTATATGTATGCTTCCTTGACTGTCGACAGGCATTTGATAGAGTGTGGCATGATGGCTTGCTATATAAGTTAAATGAGTGTGATATTGACCCCATCACTTTGCGATGCTTTATTAATCTTTACTCTAACATGAAAAGCTGTGTGCGTAACAAATCATACATGTCAGACTGGTTTGAGGTGAAGCAGGGAACCAGACAGGGCGGGAAAAGTTCGCCGTTGCTCTATCTTCTTTACATCAACGGTCTTATATTAAAACTTGAACAATCAAACCTAGGTTTTTGTATGTATAACATGAACATAAGTAGCCCTACAGTTGCAGACGACATGGTCCTAGTTTCTCTTTCAAAACATGGTTTAGATCTAATGATCAGTATTTGCTATCGCTGCTCAACATTATGGCGTTTTGAGTACAATCCTTCTAAATGTTCTGTGGTTGTCTACAATGAGCCAAAGATTGAATACGAGAAAGCAATTTGTCACAGGAAGTGGACAATAGGTACAAAAACAATATGCGAGGGTATCGAGTATGTACATCTTGGAATAACTTTAAACAAGTACTCACTGATCAACGATAATATTTACAATGCAAGCTGTAAATTGCGAGGAATCCTTTTGAGTATAGCAAATAGTGATGTTGACTCTGGCAATGATCTCAATCCTTCAACATATTTAAAGATATATAACTCAGTCGTACTACCTAAGGCTTTGTATGGATGTGAATTGTGGAACTATATGACACACTCAAACATACTAATTTTAGAGAGAGCCCACCGTTTTTGCGTCAAATTCATGCAAAAGTTACCATTGTTTGTAAATAATGATATTGCTTTTTTTGCATTAGGAGTAAACCCTATTATTACAACGATAGACTATAACAAGTTGCGATTTCTTGGACAACTCTGTCGGCTTCCAAATCATTACTTAGCAAAACAAATTTTTGTCCATCGGTTAGTTCGGTATGTAAATTGTATAGAAAGGCAGTGTCTAGGGTTTTTACCAGATATATATAAACTTTAAGCTAAATATAATTTAACTAGTTATATGAATATCTTATTAGAAACATCACGATTTCCAAGCAAAGGAGCATGGAAGAGTATTCTACAGTGTAATTTATTTCAACTTGAAATTAATCTGCGGTATGAAAACTTGTGTCAAAAACTGTCATTGGAACACATCTCAAATATTTTCAACATTGGTGGTCAGTGTAAATTTTGGATATACAGTAAAAACTTCCCGGCGGCAAGACTATACTGCTTCTCGGCTCTGACAATTTTAGCCAAGTTGTTTTCATTCAATAAGATTGAGACATGCAAAAAGTGTAATTGTACTTGATGTTCTTCTGTAAATGTTATGTATTATGCATGCTGCTCTCCTATGATGGAGGTAATAAAGAATAAAGAAAAAAGTACAAAAATAGTTTGTCTTACATGCATGAGAAAGGCACATTCTGCACACACACACACACCAGCTGTTGTATTTTCACTCTTACCTGTACCACTCATGTAAATATTGCATCTAGGGCCACTGTACCAGAAGTGCATCAGTACTAAGGGTGTGGTACCAGTACCAGTACTTGCCAAATTATGCAGTACCATTACCAGTACTAGCTTTTAGCTTGGTACTTCAGTACCAGTACTTTTAGTGGAAGTACTTAAGTATCATTACCATTACTTTTATATATTCATCAAGGTTTTGATAAATACACCAGTGTCAAACAAAATAATTGAAAACATTGTTCAGCAAAGAAATAAAATATTTATTTACGTTAAAGTTAACATTACCTTTTTACAGCTTTAATGATTTAACATACTTTTTACAAAAACATTTACAACATATATTCATGCCATATCTTTTGTTTGTTTATTTGTTTGTTTCATTTTACGCCTTAACCCAACAGTATTTCAGTCATATATAGGCGGGTAGTTTCCTAACCATCGTTCCTGGAGAGTAACACCAGTACTAGACTGCCTTCCTTCGCGCTAAACTAGGGGAGATACCCACGCCAGAGAGGTAACTGGATTAGAAGTCATCGACTCTAACCCCTCGACCACGGAGGCGGTTATATGCCATATCTTGTTCAGTAACACAATGCATTATCTTTCAGTCAAAACACAACAGTCTTTTGTTGCTTTTCACACCTTTACACCTCATTTTAACTTATACCAAAGTAAATGACAATTTTTATGGTGCTAACAAGATCACTTGAAATAGGATGTTTTTAGTATAGAAGCAATAAGTTATTGTTTATATATTTTGCTCTTTTGTACTAGTAAATTCAAAATAATAAAAGATTGTAAGAAGGATATTTTAAGGTAAAGAGACATTGAATCTGTTTATTTCAATTAATTTTTTCTTCAAGTCTTTGGTGCTTCATCTTTTAACATATGACGGAATATTGCAGCAAATTATCTACAGATTTGATAACTTACTTTTTCACAAAAATAAAATAACATATGGAATTTACAGCTTTATTTATGAGAAAAATTGATGACAATTTTATCAAAACCAAAATACTGCCTTGTAATGCCGTAGCAGTACCACTTTTTTAAGACAGTAATGCAGTACCAGTTCCAGTAGTAGCAACATTTTGTAAGAGTAATTCAGTTTCAGTACTAGTGCTTGCAAAATCGCTGCAGTACGTACTGCAGTACCAGTACCAGTAATGCAGCTCTGCACTATACACAACATATAAAATAGACAAATAACCTTTATTTATTACACAAAGAACAAGATAATGCACAGATATTCATATGTTGTCTGATTCAGACAAGTTCTATATATGCTAATTGAAATAACCAATAAGGCAAAGGCAACATTCACAGGACGCAGGTCCCCCAACAAGCCCAAGCCGGACACCCAGAAGACACCGAAAACGCGAGTGTTAAGTCTACTATTCCAGTTTTGAATAAAATTATCAGTCAATCTCTGCTTAATACAGTGCAAAAACATTTCCTTATCACCTACATTGTGAAAATCAACACTTCATTAAACAAAATGCACATAAAAGGTCCCTCTATAATGAACACCAGATTTTTTTGTAAGGATACCTTTCACAGTCAATTTTATAAAGATATATAGATTTTCTTGTTAAACTTATGAACATTTGTATGTAATAACCTTACCGAACATTACAAATATGGTTCCAATCAAATGAATCGTTTCTAAATGCCTTGGACAAGATGTATATGTTTTCTTTTAGTTTATTTATCAAACATAATTTTTATATATGTCATGTTACGTATATAATGTAATAACTCATAAGTATTTATAACAAGGAATTTATTCAAAGGGACACAAATCAAAAAGTTCTTTTCTATTAATCAATGTGTCTGTGAGATATCGCCGTTATGAATTATGTGTTCAAATAGATAAAAATATGTTATGAGTTTTTCAAAAATATATAAACATACATATGAACAAATATCTGCCTCTGTTGAAACAAATTATTTACATAACTTATTGCGGTCTTTTTGTCCAATTCCTTGGGCTACTCCTTTGCACAACAATGGTCCTTCCTCATGCAAATGTAAAGCTGGCCAAACGATATGGTCAATATATTTTCCAGAACGTGTATAAGGCTTGTACTTATTAGTATCAAACGGAATATTTTCTTTGACATCAGGAAATTCTATAAAGACCGGTGGATTATGACGGCACATCAACCAGCAGATATTCACACACTTTTTAATGTATGTCTCAAGAAAGTCCCGGCTCTCCATCTTCATTTGAAAAGATTTGCTGATAAGGTCTGTGACAGTCTAGATCGAATATACATAATATTCATTTAAATCATAGCTATAGTAAATACGTAAATATATGCTTTTATTTTTTTAACAATGTATTTTAGATATTGACTTTACTTAAAGTTGAAGTAAGTTAAAATGATAAATGTCGTATAAAATACACGTTAAATCTCCAATTTGCACAGATGATATGATATAAGGAACAAAATGACATACTGTTTCAACTTCATTTGTCAGATGAATTTCAAAGAAGTTCTTTGCTTCCATAATTGTCTTTTTCTGCTCTTTTGAAAGTAAATCAAAGTCGGAGTCAATAGTAATTTCCTGTAATGTAATAAATGTTTTCATTGCAAGTAAATGTAACTGGTTTATTTGAACTGTATAACATTCATACTAATCTATTGGCAAACTAAACGTCTTTTATTTTATTGTCATTATACCATATAGATGCTTTTTATCGCAAGAAATAAGTTCAGTTATGTAGTTTTTCTGTTTGTCAATATTTAAATGAATTGGTCCATAATGAGGTCGGTATGACCAAAAGTATTATTCTTTTTTTTGTATTTTACACCATCCTTGACAAGAAACCACGAAATGATTATATATAAATATTGTTTGTAAGTTTAAGATATATGATCAGATTTCACACATATTACATAGCAGATAGATCAAAATATTAATTCTCATCATGTAACTGTTCGTACTTAGTTACATGATACCCTTTCAAGATTTTTTCACAAAAAAGCTTGAAGAAGATAAAAGCCGGGCATATCTTTTATTTCAGAAAAAATATGGAAAACGCATTATATTGGAAATTAAAAATATTATGTAAGTTTCTTACATTTTAAGAAAGGCTTGGTGTAATAGAAATCATATAAAGGCAAATTTGCTATAGTTCTACTCCATATATTACATTTTATGTTCACTGAGGTTATTTGACATGGTGGGACTGAAATTATTTTTTTCCAGATAAATGTATTATTTGATGTAGGGGTTAGACCACTTATCTTTATGCAAAATTTCAGATCATTCGCACACTTGGTTTTTCCAAAATAATTATTCCAATTGTAAAAAAATGACCCGAAATCAAAAGCGTTTAAACGCTTTTTACTCAAATCAGGTTAAAAAAGGCATAAACATACGAATTTATTTCAAAGTATATTTCTTAACTATCTTAGCATACTTTTCTGTTTAAAGTTCCCCAGCTCATTTATGTAAGAATTCTTATGTTATATTTTATGCTTTTAAACCTCAGTGAAGTTCCTTTAAGCTTGGTAATCAGTTATTTGTCTTAACATTAATAAAAAACATCAATAAATTGCAAGTTCTTTTTATATATACTATGTAATAAACGGTGATTTATGCCAACACGTATTTACATTAATTGTCTGCGTTAATTCTGTATATTTATAGTAACAGTTTATTGTTTGCACAGTACATTTCAAGTTTTTCTCGTTTTGAATTAATGTATTCATTCAAATTTGCATAAAAAGCATGAATAAAAATGTTAACAAGTGAATGAATAAATATATATACTAAACCAATGGTGTTTCTTTGCATGTATATCAGAAATAAAAATAAATAAATTCATTACATTATCACCATTGCATAAAAATGACATTTATACACATATTATGCATTCATTCATAAGCTCAAATTTATAAATGTTATGCTAGAACAGTGACATATCAACAAAATTATGGATTAATAACCTTGATATCAAAAATAACACTTGAATTTACTTCTCCTATTGTATTTGTCATTATGACTTTCCTTGATTGCCAGTGTTAAAATGTGATTATTTAGTTCACATTAGCTTGAACTGATGTACTTACTGTTGTATTTACATCATTTTGATTTGTGTCAACCTCTCCATCATGCTCCTTCTAAAAGACAAGTTTACAACGTAAACGTCATAGCGACAGAAGAACATAAGGAACAATAACATATTTTGACAGATATTATAACACAATTTTATAAACACAATTACTTTAATTTTACTACTATATATGCATCATAATGAATTATAAAAAATGTCCATTTTTATTGGATTTTAAGTCACATCTACAGAGTGAAGGTCATACGGTGACGTTCCATTTCTACTGGTGGAGGAAGACCGAAATGCCCCTTCATATATATTAGGCACAAACGGGAACCTGGGTAGAACCAGCGACTTTCCGTAAGCAATCTGGATAGCTTCCTTACATGAAAGAATCCATTGTGCCTGACAGTATTCGATATCATTTTGTTTTGTTGCATTTAAAGTCGAATCGACAGCAATGATAAAAAACGATTTGAAGTCAACGGCTTTACCCAATTGGCTATGGATGCCTTTACAAACAGTCTAGAATTAGTCAGAACGATCGTTTGGTAAAACACAAAATATCGTCATGTTCATTTCAAATGTTTGAAGAAAAGAAGCAAAATAGACAATATGCAGGAAACATTGAGCAGAACAAAATAAATTTGCATTTTTTTTACAGTATTGAATTAAAGACTTTGAACTAAAGGTTTCTCAGATAGACACCAAGTATGCATTTAGCATGTCCAAAGCACTGATATGGCCAAATTGTACCTATTTATTGCACGATTTGTCATAAGAGGTTAATTGTAATAAAATAATACTTTTGTTACATCTGAACTTCCATCCTTATTCCTTTCTGATTCAGTGTCTTTGTCACTATGTTTCACTTCAGGCTCCTAAACAAAAAGAGAATTTGCACCGTATCGATAAACTTTATTTTAATTATTTTGCGTCAGAGTGTTGTTATTAAATGAACAATTTCAGATTAATTTATTTGAATTATTTTGCGTCAGGTGGTTGTTATTAAATAAACAATTACAGAAATGATAAAATTCCAAAATTAAAGAGCATGCGCACATACAAGCATGCGCATACACGAGGATGTTAGATAATACCCAGTGTAATTTATAAATAGGTAACCATAGCAAAACTAAAAAAAGTAAACATATATATTACATTTATGAAAATGCAAACTTTATCTTCCCATTAAATTCCATAGTCCCAATGTATGTGCTGTCACAGTGACATATTGACATACTTATGTATACATTTTACTTTTATAATGATGACTCACAGGCAACGGTGTAATATTAAAAACGTATTAAAAATACAGTTGTCTCTAGAAATAAAATTGCAAAAACTTGAATATGATGCCTTCATACATATTTGCCTTCAATATAAAACGAGGGCCATTCAAGAAGTTCTATCATTTGGCTAATATTTTGTAACTGTTACATTTTATAAAAAAATGTTTTCCATTTGAAATATTCAAAGTATTCCCGAACTAGCTAAAGACAGTTTTGTCATTTCTTTGACCAGCTTGGAAAAGTTGAAAATAATATTCTTTTGGAATGCTGTCTTAATTTAAGGATACAGAAATAAGTCGGTATACCTTTTACTTTTAATTTAAGTCGCTGGGACTTAAGTCAGGAGAATAAGGCGCTGTGTTTACAATTTAAACATTTTTAGAGTTAGGGTGTTTTGGACATTCTTAAGGAATTATTTATTTTAACAATCTCGCTTTTGTGAGAGGAGACATTGTCATGTGTTAGATGGACTCTTGAACAACCTATGCGCGGACGCTTCTTATTGTAAAACGCTATTATCCTCCTTATTGCAATACTCTTGTAAAAGTATCAAGTGACTAGTCTACTGCAATTTAGTCTACTACAATTTAAGACAATCGCATACAACATATTAACCTGATTGTCCTTTTGAACTTTTTGTTACTCAAGTTTCATCACCTGTCAGCAAGTTAGAATTAATCCGGCAATCACAGTGTTTGAATGTTTTTAGAAGTTCTTTGGCACACTAAATATACTGTTTCTGTTGTTCCATAGCGAGAAACTGGGATACCAATCTAGCGCAAACTTTCTTAGACCTAAACGCATGGTCAGAATTACATGAATACTGCCTTTTGATATGTAAGTTGACTAGTTACCTCTACCTGAACGTAGTCATCCTTGACATACAATTTTGACTCCGAAACCCTAAAATATTACCTATTTGACGCCAATAAAAGTTTCATATGCCAAACAACACATTGATATATAATAATGCATTGCAGCAATGCACGATACATAGCCGAAGTTACATTAATGAGGTTTCCGAATTTCAGGTTAGTTGTCCGTTGTACAAAAGGGTCAGTCAATTGGTCAGTGCATATGACTTCGTGTATTTCAAGTTGAAATATCTTGGTTATGTTACAAGCGTTTTAAAATACTATGAGGCAGACACTAAGAAAACCTATTGTTATGTATGCAACATATTACATGTATATAATTTATATCTGACCAGTTGGTATTTCCAATATTATCATTGTTCTATTTTTAGAACATAAACTACATGTATGTACTAGAAGGTTCTTAACTGTTGTAGAAAACTCATGCATTATATTTAGATAGAAACTTCTGGAATGATCTTTATTGTTGAAGTTGCTAGATTATGATTACTTGAGAACATAATAGACCTTTCTGGAAACTTCTTAGTTAATATATATAAGGAGACATTTTTCATTAATCTTATCTTTAAGTCATCAGTTACCTTTTAAGTCATCAGTGATCTTTTAGAAATCAATATATTTGGAGTATTATTCAACTTGGAAATTAAGTGATTTATTGGAGCTTGGATTATTAATTATTCTTGTGGATTTTATTGTGGGAATTTATTCTAAAGTGTTCTTGGATTTAACTTGGATTTAACTGTGCTATTAAAAAAAGATCATTCCAGGATCAGACTAGACATTTGTAATTTTTATTTGGACTTCAGGTATTTGTAAAGTTATTTGTTATTTTATTTTTCTTTAATAATTTTTCTGTAATAAATTTGTTATTGTTACAAGTTTGTTGCTGGCTTTTCTTTCTCGTTACGCCTGGCTCGTAACAGAAATTGGGGGCTCGTCCGGGATTGAATATTTCTTTTTGGCTACATTATTGGAAATTATTACCATTTATTCTACATTTTATTATTACCGTATTTACTCATCTGAGTTGATATCATAGTTGTTCTATTAAGTGTACCTTTCATTTTGAAATTTTTGAAACACATCACTTTCTGAGTTTAAAACCAGCAGCAAGCAGTCATGTCTTTTAATTTAGAAAAGTTTGTAGCTGACCCTTCCCAGGAGGTATTAGATTTGGCTAAGAAAACTGATTTGCTCGATCTTGCAAAAAAGTATAATTTATTAGAAATTAAATCTTCAATGCGTAAACAAGAAATTAAAAATCTTCTGATTCATTATTTTGTGGATGAAGATATTTTTGGAGAAGATGCACTTTCTCAGATTGTTGAAAAGCACTCTGAAATTTCTGAAATAAAGATAAAAGAGCTTGAATTACAATTTAAATTTGAAAAAATGCAGTTTGAAAAAGAAAGGGAAGAAAAAGAAAGGGAAGAAAAAGAAAGGGAAAGGCAGTTTGAAAAAGAAAGAGAAGAGAGAAAATTAGAAAAAGAAAGAGAAGAGAGAGAATTTCAGTTAAGAATGAGAGAATTAGAAATCAAAGAGAGAACAAATCAGTTTGAAAATAGAATAAATTCAAAATTTGATGTCACTAAAAATATTAGGCTTGTTCCACCTTTCCAAGAAAAAGAAGTTGATAAGTATTTTCTTCATTTTGAAAAGGTTGCTGGAAATTAAAAATGGCCAATAGAGCACTGGACATTACTTTTACAGAGCGTCTTAATTGGTAAAGCTCGTGAAATCTATACACAACTTACTGTCGAACAAAGCTCTAATTATGATAATGTAAAAGAATTAATTCTGAAAGGTTATGAGTTAGTACCAGAGGCCTACAGGCAAAAATTCAGAAATTCTAAGAAAGAAATTGGTCAAACCCATGTCGAATTTGCAAGAGAAAAAGAACAACTTTTTGATCGGTGGTGTCTATCTAAGAAAATTAATAAAAATCATGAAAAGCTCAGACAGCTCATGTTAGTTGAAGAGTTTAAACGTTGCATTCACTCTGATGTTAAATCTTTCTTAGATGAAAAACAGGTAGAAACTTTGGAAGAAGCTGCCCGTCTAGCTGATGATTATTCTTTAACCCACAAAGTCTCATTTTTAAATAAAGGGAAGTCCACACCCTCACATTTTAATTCCAAGTTCAGTTCTGGTAATTTATCTGGCTCATCTAGTCAGTCAAATACTCCCAAACCAAAGTCATCTGATGAACATAAAGGTCATAATCCCTTATCTTGTCCTACATGCAATTATTGCAAGAAAACTGGACATCTTATTTCTGATTGCTTTACCTTAAAAAGGAGGCAACAGCAACGTGATGAGGCCAAACCCACAGGTCTTACCACTTCAAGGTCTCAACCTCAGTCTTGTATTGATAACAATGCAATTTTGAAGGTCAAAGAACCCAAGTCTGATTCTATAATGGAGATTTATGAACCATTCCTTTCGGAAGGTTCCGTGTCACTTATCGGTGACACTTGCCCACCTACTCCTATTACAATTTTAAGAGACACAGGAGCTTCTCAATCTCTTATTTTAGCAGATACACTGCCTTTTTCTGAGAAGACTTCTTCTGGATCTAGTGTCCTTATTCAGGGTGTAGAGTGTGGTTTTTCTAATGTCCCTCTCCATAATATTTATTTGTCCTCAGATTTGGTAACTGGGCCGGTGGCTGTAGGTATAAGATCTTTCTTACCCTTTAAAGGTGTTCATTTATTGCTAGGTAATGACTTAGCTGGAGATAAGGTAGTGGTTAATCCACTTGTAACTGACACTCCTTGTGTGGATCAGATACCTGATCCCATTGAGCAGGAAATTCCTGACCTTTACCCTTCATGTGCAGTTACTCGAGCTATGGCTAAGAAGGCCATTCAAGAAGACAATTTTTGTTCAGATATTGACTTAGCTGATACTTTTATAGGTCAGTCTTTTGATAATGAAATAAATTTTTCTCACACTCCTACTCTGCCTGAAACTCAGACAGATTTTTCAATATCTGATTTTTCTACACCAAGATCTAAAGATCAAGGTCATGATACGCTGTCAAGGTCACAGCTTATCCAGGAACAACAAAATGATCCTGAGATTTCAGTCCTTTTTCAAAAGGCTTTTAGTGAAGATGAAGCTTTACAAGTCCCTGTTTGTTATTATGAAAAGAATGGGATTTTAATGAGAAAATGGCGACCGCCCGATGTCCCTGCTGAAGAGGAGTGGACTGTTAATCACCAAATTGTGGTCCCTAAATCATATCGCCAGGAAATATTAAGCTTGGCTCATGAAACACCCATGGCAGGTCATTTAGGTGTTAATAAAACCTACCATAAAATTCTCAATCATTTTATTGGCCTGGCCTTAAAGCAGATGTATCTAGGTACTGTAAATCTTGTCATACTTGTCAGATGGTTGGAAAACCTAACCAGACAATACCTAAAGCTCATTTACAGCCTATTCCTGCATTTGATGAACCTTTTAGTAGAGTTATTATTGACTGTGTAGGTCCATTACCAAAAACTAAATCAGGTTCTCAGTACTTATTAACTATTATGTGTGCTTCTACGCGCTTCCCTGAAGCTATTCCTTTAAGGAATATTAAAGCCAAAACTATTATTAAGGCTCTTGTGAAATTTTTCACTTTTGTTGGTTTACCTAAATCAGTACAGTCTGATCAAGGGTCAAACTTTATGTCTGGTATTTTCCAGCAGGTCATGCACGAGTTAG